GGGAAATCGAGGTTGAAAGTCAAAGCGCTCATGCTCGCACATTCTCTTTCTCTGCTTACCGCTCACATGCTAGTCAAGGTCACTGTGAGCGTGGGCCTCCATTAGCTAATAATGGAAGTTCACAACCTTCTGACGTGGGCAAAGAGAGTTTGAAAAAGAACGGGGGGTTGTCTTTGTTGAGGGCTTTTATCCACCTGCATTTAGTGTTGAGGACAAAACACTACAGGTCCATCTGTGGCACATCAAAAACATAATCCCAATGTCAGTGCCTCAGCATGCTTAACATTCACTTTAACAGACACGCACATACACACTCACCATCTGGTGCGCGTCTGGCCCGATGTTATACCCCCCCCTCTGCCCCATGCTGGATTACTCCCCTCAGTATTTACATTTTGCAAATCCAGTGGCGTGACCTCCGCTAGGGGTCATCTGTAATCTGAAGGTCATATTTGCAACATGTGTATGTGTGTGTGTGTGTGTGTGTGTGTGTGTGTGTGTGTGTGTGTGTGTGTGTGTGTGTGTGTGTGTGTGTGTGTGTGTGTGTGTGTGTGTCTGTCTGTCTGTCTGTCTGTCTGTCTGTCTGTCTGTCTGCTGTCTGTCTGTCTGTCTGTCTGTCTGTCTGTCTGTCTGTCGATGTGTTCTCATGTGTGTCTCAGCCTGTAATTTGTTCATGCTCAGCGCAGGGACAGTATCAGCGTCCACGACATCTGTTCAACACAGGGCCTACACAGCAGAGCTGAGCGCATCATCTGCAGGCCGCAGCACAGGGATGGCACACACACACACACACACACACACACACACACACACACACACACACACACACACACACACACACTTGTAAATTGGTGTGTTTTCCATGTTTTATAATGCCTATCGTTTTGATATACTTCTCAACAATAAATGTTCTTGGTTTATTTTACTTTTGTTTTTGCTGGGATCTATGTTGAAAGAAGCATTAGTTTCAGCGCATACATATTAATGTTACTATCTATTTTACGTCTTATTTTTGCTATTTGTATTGACTGTAAAGTTTAATGTGTGTTATAAAATGTGGACCCCAGGAAGGCTGGCTGCTCTTTAGAACACAGCTAATGGGGATCATACTATAAACAAAACCAATCTGTTCATCTGACATCTATTTTATGTTTGTGCCGACTGTAAGCCCTTTGAGGCAGATTTGTGATTCGTAATACATGTGCGATCAAAGCTGTGGTAGGCAAAGTGTATATTCCTGCGTTGGCAACAACTTCTAAAACTACAAAGCAAAAAAGAAAGACATTTCGAAATAGGGAAAATTCAAAGATGTTGCTAATCTAGTCTTTTGCCCACAGCTTTAGCTAGCGTTGTTACGGCTAAGGCCACACTATTAGCAAAACATTTTCTCCGTTTCTGAAATACTTAGACGATATTGTAGCGTGTAGTGATCACTGGTTGACATAATTCATCACGGAACTGTGGGGTAGGGGTATTGTTCCGCACGGACACATTTGTTGACGGTACCTCCTTTCTTCTCTCGCTTGTCTACTCGGACTGCAAGCCAGCAACATGTCCTTTTCTGCTCCTCATTAAAGTTCCCTTTTGCACCTTCGATGCACCGCCTCAGACTCCTATCTCTCGGCACTACATTGGTGACCCTGACATAAGTCTCGCGAAGTATCCGAGACTGAACCGAACACTGCAACAAACGCAGTTTTTTCTCGAAATGCCGGGGATTTTTGGAGACGCCCGTGGCTGCATCGTGCGCACGGACTGAGGCTCGGTTCGCCCTCCGCGGGATGGCCGAGGACGACGCTCGCCATTTCCACATTGTTTCGGCACTGGGAGACAGCAAGCCTTCCGACCACATGGAAGTGATGGACGACCTGCTAGGTACGGAAGAACCCGACTTCTACCTCATGTGCGGCTTTCACACCAGCGCTTTTCCCTTTCTAGCTCCGAGCTAGAGCTTTTCTGGTTCAGCTCCGGTTTCCCTTTTCTGCTCCGGCTCTGTTCACACCGCCCAGCACCCGACTGGTGCTGCCGCTGCTGCGTCATGACGTCACCGTTTACATCGCTGATTTGCTCCCCAACGGCATTACGGCGCTCACAACAACAACAACGGGGAACTGCGTCGGGTCGATGATCGTGTTGCTTTTAATCACACGAAGCCAGAATAAATTGAATAACGACTTCTCCAACCTTATACTTTGCTCCAGAGTGCCGTGGTTCATTGTTTATTAATGTGTTTCTGTGGCATTTACCGACCACTGCAGTGTTGGCTGCTCTTCCACGGGAGTTTATTCTCCTCCGTTAGCTCCCGGTTAGCTCACACTGCAGCGGCCGCTCTAAAGTATTCACTGTCCGACTCACACAAGCAGCTGATACATATCCCCAGTTCCCCTTAGCCTAAGTGAATGTGTGTCAGTCTGAATTGACGCTGTTTGGTATCACAACGCTGTTATGAAAGTTTCTCTGGTATAAAATGGGTGATGTTAGTATAGCAACCGAAGCTAAACTGACTACTTGCTATTGCTATCCTATTGTGGCATAAACCGTTTTCTACAGGCACATTTTACCGGCATATTTTTATTATGATTCTACTTGTGATAGTCGGACACGACAACCTGTGCAGCCCATGTATTGATTCCATCCGATAGCTGCTATAATACAAAACAACACGTCTGCCTCTCTCCACAATGATCAATAACAGTGAACGGATGGTACAAATAAACAGAATCACACGAAGCCTGGTTAGTGTTGCCTGACTTTATAAAGTCTGTTTATAAGCACTACTGCTTGTAGGCAGGCATGACAGTCGACCCATGTTCAGGGGAGGTGGGTTTAGTTTCCTGCACGCCTCGACGTAAGAGAGACGTAAGCGACGCCACCTCTTAGCTCCGAAGCTCTTACCTCTAGACCGACAATTTTTTGGAGCTGGAGGTGAACCGGATTCCGGAGCTAAGAGCCGGCGCCGCTGCGGTGTGAACAGGAAAAACCGGCGCTTTTCAGGCTCCAGCTCCGAGCCGGAGCTGAAAAAGCGCTGGTGTGAAAGGGGCAATGGAGCTGTTTCTTCGGGACATGCGGCTGCATGTCCAGGCTGCGCTAGCTAACACGGCTAGTGTTGAGCCACGCGCTTTAGCCGAAGAAGCTAGCCGGTTCTTCCTGGCCGCCCGGCGATTTACCCCTGAGGTGCTGGCCACTACACGCAGCGGCACCTTCCCTGGTAGAGGCACGCCGCCTAGCAGAGGCTCCGGGGCCGACGACATCGACTAACGGCTACCGGCTTGCGGCTGGCGGCCGTCGACACCGGCTAACAGCTAATGACGTCAGCTAACGGCTAGCAGCTACCGAAGACTACCAGCTAGAGGCTAACAACGAGAGCTAACGACTAGCTGCTAACGGCTATCGACATCCATCGGTTGACATCCGACTGTTAACCCCTTTTTTTGTGGTGCCGGAGAGGGGGTTCGACCTAGTCTGGTTGGCCTCGTGTGGATCCTCTCACAATTTCGACCACCTGTTTTTGATCGTAGACAGGACGACCCTTTTGAGCTTTTTCTGGTGCCTGAGAAGAGGTTCGATCATGTCTGGTCGGCCTCGTGTGGATCCTCTCGCTTTTTCACCACCTCGACGGCAACTTTGGACGTCGCCTACGCTTTCATCGGCGCCTGGGTGGCGCGCTTCTGGACCCCGTCTCGCCTCGACTCTATGGTTTCGGACGTCGCCCATGCCTTCATCGGCCCATGGGTGGCCGCTTTGGAACCCTGTCAGGCCTCTTCCCTCGCCTCGGCGGTTTCGGACGTCGCCCATGCCTTCATCGGCCCGTGGGTGGCGCGCTTCTGGACCCTGCCTGGCCTCTCCTCTTACCGCGGCTCACGGTTCGCCTCAACGGCGGCTTAGGGCGGCGCCCCGTCTGACCCAGTCTGGCCTCTCCCCTGTCCACGGCTCCTTCCTCCCGGGAATGCTGCTACTGCCCCCCGGGGACACGGCTCCTTCCTCCCGAGGACTTCGTGCCCGCCGCCGCTGTGCCCTCGCCTGCGGACGGGCAGCGCTCCTTCCTTATTCACGCCCGTCCCCACGTCGTGTTCTTGGTTCGCCTCAACGCCTACCGAGGCCCCCCCTGCGGCCCCATTACGACGGCCCGTTCCGGCCCCCCCCCCCACCCCCGGTGGGTGTACCCTCGCCCTCGTTGGGCCCCTACCCTCTCCTGCAGCCCCCTTCCGGCCCTCGCCCATGGCCCCGCCCTCCTCGGCCCCTGTGGTGCTTCCTCCCAGACGCGAGGATTGTGTCCATGGTTGAATTCTGGGGGGGCTTGTGTAGTGATCACTGGTTGACATAATTCACCACGGAACTGTGCGGTAGGGGTATTGTTCCGCACGGACACATTTGATGACGGTACCTCCTGTGTACTTACTGTGCCCTCCTTTCTTCTCTCGCTTGTCTACTCGAACTGCAAGCCAGCAACATGTCCTTTACTGCTCCTCATTAAGGTTCCCTTTTGCACCTTCGATGCACCGCCTCCGACTCCTATCTCTCGGCACTACAAGCGACCCTCCAATCACAGTCTTTCATTGAAAGGGCTTTACAGGCCCACGTGTTTAGCAAAGAAAAGCATCTGAATAACAGTCAGGGTGGTCGTACAAAACGAATGACTTGCAAAGGTTACTGAATAAAGCGACTGATTGTTTTGTGGGAGGGGCCTTTTCCAGAAGACTTGAATTACAATATGATACAAGGCTTTAACTGAATGTTTGCCAAATAATTCCACATATAGTGTGTTTTTCTGCACTCGAACACATACTGTACATTGTGCAGTTGTATGCATCTGTGTGGGTTGAGACATTACCAAATCCTCTCGGTCTGCCCAGAGAGACAACACAGCGGGCAGAGGAAATGCTCTGAGGCTAAGTATCGGAGTTTCAATGCCCAGTATTTCTTGCCAATGATGACAACAACTCAAGTGGGATCCACGCAGAGAAGCAGAACAAAAAGACTGAAATAAATGTACAGCTCACCCGTTGGGGGACGGATGTGGTGAAGATGAAGTGATGATCGTCTCTGTACTCTGCTAAAATGAAATATGATGGCGAGGGAGCTCAGTGCCATTTCCTGCCTGGCACAGGAAGCTCCCATCTGGAGCAGAGTGCTGTCTGTCCTGCGTTGTTGCGTTGCGTGGCGTTATAATAGCTCTTGTCACTTATGCTCCTGCTCTCCATGTCGTTGTTATTTCTCTAGGTCAGCTGAGGGAGAAGGGAGAGAAATAAATCATATTCATGGTTTAAGATGTTGTGCTGTGGATCGATGAAGATAGGACTGGTAAAACAGACATAAGTGAGCAGTTTATTATTTGAACTGGGGGGGGGGTGTAATAGAGGCATTGAAGGGGTCTGAAGGAGGAAGAGGCATGCTGGCAGCTGCCCGTACGACTGTCACATCCCACCGCCCGCCAGAAAAGCAGAAGGAGACCACTCGTCATCACCGTGATAATTAACACGTGACGAGAGGGGGGAGGAGGGTTATCAATCAAAAAATGATGCAGGGATGAGTGCACCCCCTCGTCTGCCTGCTCAGTGCTCACACACACACACACACACACATACACACACACACACACACACACACACACACACACACACACACACACACACACACACACACACACACACACACAATGCCATCATATTTCATTTGGGTCATCAGGAACAAGTGTCTGCAAGAGGAAATCTCTGACTGTGATAATGTATTTTCGTCTTTAACAAAGTGACTGTAACACCCCGCAGGGATAATGTTCAGAACACAGACAAAACTGGAAGCACAAGAGGAGGGAAACAGCGACACAAGTGTGTACTAAAATACACCCCAGAGCCTGAAACTGTGACACTGAAGGCAATATGCGTTCGTGCTGTAGACAAAAGCAATAATTCATTTATAGGGTGATTACAAAATCTCCCCACATTGGTCATTTCATATACCATAAAGATTCAAATCACAATATAGCATGTTTTTCTAGTCATTCAAAAATAGGTCTACATAAAAAAGAACATTCTATTTTAAGTAATTAGGTGCAAAATTATAAAATCAGACAATAGTTTGATTTACCGTGAATTTATCAGATTTTCTGATACATTTTATTTAGTATTTTAGTATTCCTCCAGAGACCCATCCATTCATTGTTGTCCTCTGTGGAGCACATTGGGTTTTGGTCCATTACTTTGAGGTTATACATGCCACAGCCAATTGTACTCCACAGAGGACATCCAGCACTGTAAAAAAAAATACAGGGGATTTTACAGTAAATTACTGGCAGCAAAGTTGCCAACAAGTTACTGTATTTTTACTTTACAGTGGCGATCTTGTATTTTGTTTACAGTAGTAGCACTGCAGTTTACATTTCCCGCCTAAGGATAATATTCCCACAATGCAGCAGCACACTATGTTCATAGGCCCGTGGGTGGCGCCTTCTGGACCCTGCCTGGCCTCTCCTCTTACCGCGGCTCACGGTTTGCCTCAACGGCGGCTTAGGGCGGTGCCCCGTCTGACCCCGTCTGGCTTCTCCCTTGTCCACGGCTCCTTCCTCCCGGGGATGCTGCTCCTGCCCCCCGGGGACACGGCTCCTTCCTCCCGAGGACTTCGTGCCCGCCGCCGCTGTGCCCTCGCCTGCGGCCGGGCAGCGCTCCTTCCTGCTGGGACCACCGGAATATTCACGCCCGTCCCCACGTCGCGGCTCAGCGACCCAGCTTTCTCCGACTGGCGGGTGTGTTCTTCGTTCGAACATAATTCAACACACTTCTTATATCAGGTGACATTAAAAATGAATATACCAGAAATACGCTGCATTAAACTTTCTGCTATAACACGTTATTTTAATACTTCAATTACTGTGGGTAATACAGCAATTTACTGCCTAGATTACAGATTTTTTTCAAAACATACAGTATGACATATGTGGGGTTGTGGCTTTGAAAAAGATAAATTCATTGTATTTCAAAATGGCGTCCATCAACACAATATATATATATATATATATATATATATATATATATATATATATATATATATGTTGTAATTACCAGTGTTGTGAGTTCAATATTTTTAATTAATTATAGTAAGGGAACATCTTAGGAGCTAGTGTAGTGAGTTTTCAGAGCAGTGTAATACTTATTTGACCTTATTTGTTTTTATGAATGTCCTCTGAGGACATGGGGATTTGCTAACTTTGTATTTCCCCCATTTTACACAACACAAATGGAGTCCACTATGGGCCAAAACTAACACTTAGGTTTCTGTAGGGTTCATGGCAGACGGATGCAGTGGGAAAACATACATCAAGTGTCAGATGTTTGCATTTCAAAAAAGGATGGAGTACTACAAATGAGGGCTCAGTATTTGTTGCATTGAGTTGTTGTGCTCTAATGTTGTCTAAATGTACTTGTATGTTAATGTTGTTTGTAGCCTATACTATGCTTCGCATAACCAACACCTGATGTCCTCTACAAAGGACACACAATAAAACAAAAATACAAATATTTTGTTTTTGTTTTTGTTAGTCATTATGTTTATACCACCCTAAAGACTTGTGTGATCAAAAGAAAAAGGACATTTTAAACCTTTTTTTTTCTGGGTCACAATTTAGACAATGTTATTGTTTATCATGATATATTTCAATTAACATATCAATCAAAATACTTTATTAAACCCAGGGGGCAATTGTGTTTGGTGCCAGTTACACCATATTGAAATAAAATAACTATTTATATAAACATAAGTTGATGAAAATAGCTTGAAGCCACCAGGACACAGCATCTTAGGCACGGTATAATGACTAAGGTACGATTTCATTGAAAGATCATTTATAATATTAGATGATTTCCCATGCTTTAATCTAGCAAATAGTTTGTTCATAAATATAGATTCTTTATCGCATAATCTAAAAACAAAGAGAAAGACTGTGATCAAGATTTGAATAATATTACACTAAATACGTTTTGTGTCCACACATGTAAATCCACTTAAACATGTCTGGTGGATTTCTGCTTAGTTATTCAGTTAATCTAACATGACCAATTGCCATACATATCGAGCAGCTTCATCTAGCTAGCAGCTCCATTTGCAGACTTACTGACTGAGGAAAAAAAGGAAGGCAACTGTAGACTACTCTCTGAGGCTTTGTTGCATGAACAAACAGAAAGGGAATACAACTATGAGCACTGAGCACCACCCAGTGGTTGTTTTGTATTGAAAGCTCTTATTAAGAACAAACACAAACAATTAAGAACTGTGGCTGCACAAGAAAAGGGAAAACACATTAAAATGCCTGAAGCTTGTATTTTCCGTATATATGAGATAGACGAATATGTTATGGGAAAGGGACCCAATAACTTCACTGTCTTTATTTGCATTTATAGTGCTTATAACTTAACCAATATTTGTGTATAATGAATCAAACGACAATGTCATAAAGATGTGGCTTTATAAATGCTTTATAGCAAGTTTTATTATGACATTGTAACTTTATAGCGAGTTTCATTAGGACATTGTAACTGATAGCGAGTTTCGTTTCATTAGTAGCTGTTCGGCACACAATTCTACTGCTTTGGTTCAACTTTATCTCTCTCATAGTATCATTTTTTAGCAAAACAAAGCTCGTAAATCTCGCTGTAAACTACCTGCTCAGCACAAAATGACAGACAGACAGAGTTAGCAGCTAGCTGGAGAACAAACTAGAGGAGCATTTAGCAGCTGCAGTCCTTGCTGAAAAAACCAGCTTAGACCAACTTAGCTGGTCAACCAGCCTGACCAGCTAAGTTGACCAGCCTAGCTGGTTTAGAGGAGTTTTGGACACTTTAGCTGCAGCCAGGATGGCTGGTTTTGCAGCTAAAAAAAACAGCATAGCCCAGCATAGTATGCTGGTATGCTGGGCTGGTCACCAGCATCCATCTATCACCAGTTTATGTGTAATAATAGTATTAAATATACCATGCTGGAAAACATGAGAAAACTCATCTCGGCCGCTTGTATCCACGACCTCGTTCTTTCGGTCATGACCCATCCTTCATGACCATAGGTGAGGGTAGGAACGAAAATGGCCCGGTAGACAGAGAGCTTTGCCTTCTGGCTGAGCTCTCTTTTCGTCACAACGGTGCCGTAAAGCGACTGCAGTACCGCTCCCGCTGCTCCGATTCTCCGGCCCATCTCACGCTCCATTGTTCCCTCACTCGAGAAAAGACCGCGAGATACTTGAACTCCTTCACTTGGGGTAAGGACTCATTCCCTACTTGGAGTGGACAGTCCATCGGTTTCCTGCTGAGAACCATGGCCTCAGATTTGGGGGTGCTGATCCTCATCCCAGCCGCTTCACACTCGGTTGCGAACCGATCCAGTGAGAGCTGAAGGTCGCAGACCGATGAAGCCATTAGAACCGCATCATCTGCAAAAAGCAGTGGTGCAATCCTTAGTCCACCGAACTGCAGACCCCCTCCCCCACGACTACGCCTCGAAATCCTATCCATGTATATTACAAACAGGATTGGTAACAAAGCGCAGCCCTGGCGGAGGCCAACCCTCACCTGAAATGGGTCCGACTTACTGCCGAGGACCTGGACACAGCTCTCGCTTTGGGAGTACAGAGATTGGATGGCCCTGAGTAGAGACCCCCTCACCCCATACTCCTGCAGCACCTCCCACAGTAAATCCCTGGGAACCTGGTCATACGCCTTCTCCAAGTCTACAAAACACATGTAGACAGGATAAGCGTACTCCCAAGCCCGCTCCAGGATCCTTGCGAGAGTAAAAATCTGATCCATCGTTCCACGACCAGGACGGAATCCGCATTGTTCCTACTCAATCTGAGGTTCGACAATCGGCCTGACCCTCCTTTCGAGTACCTTAGAGTAAACTTTCCCGGGGAGGCTGAGTAGTGTGATGCCTCTGTAATTGGCACACACCCTCTTATCCCACCACCCCGATCTGCCACTCCTTCGGTACTGTTTCTGACTTCCACGCAACGTTGATGAGACGTGTCAACCATGACAGTCCCTCAACACCCAGAGCCTTCAGCATTTCTGGGCGGATCTCATCCACCCCCGGGGCTTTGCCACTGTGGAGTTGTTTGACAACCTCAGTGACCTCCCCCCGGGAGATTGGTGTTGATCCCCCGTCATACTCCAGCTCTGCCTCTACCATAGAGGGCGGAGTTGTCGGGTTCAGG